GTTTCAGGTTTTATATTGAGGTCTTTGATCCATTTGGAGCTGACTTTTGTGCAAGGTGAAAGATAAGGATCTAGTTTCATTCTTCTACAGGTGGAGATCCAGTTTTGCCAGCACCATTTGTTGAAGATGCTGTCTTTCCTACATTGTGTGTTCTTGGCACCTTTGTCAAATATCAGGGGTCTGAAATAGTGTGTAACCAGGTTTGGGTCTTCAATGATGTTGCATTGATTCATGTGTCTATTTTTGTGTCGGTACCATGCTGTTTTTATGACTATAGCTCTGCAGTGCAGTTTGAGATCCGGTATGGTTATCCCCCAACCATAGCTCTTTTTGCCCAGGATTGGTTGGTTCATCCAGGATCTTCTGTCCTTCCATATGAATTTTAGGATTTTTTTTCTATCATTGTGAAGAATGTTGTGGATATTTTGATTGGCATTGCATTGAATCTATAGATTGCTTTTGGTAAGATGGGACTTTCAAAATATTAATTCTTCCAATCCATGAGCATGGTGGGTCTTTTGTCTCCTGGTGTCTTCTTCTATTTCTTTCCTTAAAGATTTAAATTTTTCATTGTAGAGATCTTTACTGTCTTTGGTTAGGTTTATTCATAGATATATATTTATTAAGGCTATTGTGGATGGGAGGGTTTTTTTGAATGCTTTTTTGACTGCTTGTTATTGGTATATTGCCACAGTCCAGCTGTGGGGGTCCTAAAATCTGAGTGGGAAGGTAGGGGGTGAGGAAAAAAGACACAGAGGCAGCTGGATCAGGAGGACATGTAGGCTTATGGCCAAGCAGGTGATTTATTGCAGAATTACAATGCTTTTCTACTTCTTTTCAAAGCAGGAAGCCTTACTATAGAACAAAGCTGCAGGTTCTCTTCAACCGTGAAGTCTCATTAATTATGAGTATTTGTACCAGCAGCACCCAAGCAGAATTAATAAAAGAAAAACTTGCACCTGAACACTGAGTACCAAGAACTGTCCTGTGCATGTTCAGTCCCAGGCCAGCCAAGAACAGGGCTTGCCATGTCCTGTTGGCTCTTCCCCAGGGGCTGAATTGTCTGCACCTGGCAATCCTGAATAGTCAGCCCAAAACACATGTTCCCCGCCCCTTTTAAATACAGTTGGAGTTACCTAGGCCTAGGTTCCATGCAACTCACTTTAGAGCTGAGAATCGCAACAACGGAACAATATCTCAAGAAGAATACACAATGTCAACAAGCTTAATATCATTGGGAATGTATGGTGCAAGTCATTAAAGGGATTAAAGGCTTTTTAAAAATTATTTATTATTTTCATGTGTATGCGTGTATTGCCTGCATATAGGTAAGTGCACCCATGTCTATCAATGCCCGCAGAGGACAGAAGAGGCCGTCAGATCTCCTGGAACTGGAGTTAAGGGCAGTTGTTAGCTGCCATGTGGATGCTGGGATTCGAACCTGGGTCTTCTGCAAGAACAACCAGTGTTCTTAACTGCTGAGCCATCTCTCCAGCCCTGGGATTAAAATCTTTAAAGCTGGCATAACAGGCCATTGCTAATTCTCTAGGGGAAACATACTTAAGTTGAGCAGCACTAAGTTCTTTGAGCAACTGCATGATATCCAAACAAAAATGGTTATGCTGCCACATCCCTGCTAAAGGTTGTTTTACTAGTTCCCAGTCCCAAGAAGTCTCATGATACTGGAGGGGAGTGATGCCTATAAGTCTGTAGGTGGCATGTCAGTGAAGAGCCATCTGATGTTGCCCGGTCTGGGCCTCACCCCCCAGATGCAAAACCACTGTCTCCAGGGAGTTCAATCTAGCCTCTAGTTTCCTTTCAATGTTTCCTTGAGTTTGTAGAATCTGAGAAGAGCTGTGGGCTAACTTACTGACAGAGTGAGCAGTGTAAAGCTGCTGTTCTAGTGCAGCAGTGGCGACGGCGGTAATAGCCACAGCAGCAACTATGGCAAAAATACCAACAATACGGAGCCCAAGGAATCAGTGGGATCCGGCAAGGCCCTTATGGAACTCAGTGATGACCTGCTGGCCAAAATTCTCATACCAGGTGTCATGAACTATTACAGGTGCCATGACAAAAAGAGGTTGTTTTACAGTTAGTAAAGTAGGAGTGTGAAGTGGGGTGGCATTAATATAATTGGACAAAGTACATCTGTGGCAACGGACCAGGACTCCAGTAGAAACTGGCTCTATACTGGCTTTCCAGATAGTAACATTGGAGGAGTGTTTATACCAGCAGTGAGTT